CTTACTCTTAGAGAACCTGGCAAACTGCCTACATGTTCCCTACCTCCCAGATCCATAGCCTCCCAGGCTTATTTCTATCTGGTTCAGTGGGGGCAAAAACACCTGTGGGAAGGGCCCAGTGATTTGCTTCCCCAGACTGTACCCCACCATGGGAGACAGCTGGGTTTGCAAAGCCCCTCATGCAGAGGATGCACCAATGAAGCCAGGGGGACTCTGCTTCTGCTCCTATCTGTCTCTCAACTTCCACATTTTATTCTTGAGAAGAGCCTTGTTCCAGCAGTTCCGTTCCAGCAATGTCAGCAGTGGTTCTTCGCTGAGTGAAACCAGGTCTCACCTGGAGCTTCCTAGCCTCCAGCCCTGGTGGAGCTCCAGGCAGGGACCCTGGATTCCCTGGGACACTCTGGCAGCTGGCAATTGGCGTGAGGCCACAAACATAGCCAGGAGCCAGCATACAGCTTCCACCTCACCTGTCCACCCTCATTACTTTCCCAGCTCTTTCCTGTTGATAGAAAGACTATTTGCATCCATCCCACTTATCCCCGTGTAGCCACATCTCCACTCTGTCACCCCGGGAGCCAGCATCACCTGGGGGTGTTTCTGTGCCCACAAACCCTTGCACCTCCATTATGTCATAGTGTATTTTGTTGGTGACCCTGCTTACTATCCAGTGAGTGATATCTATTACCACCTCCAGGGGAGGAGGTGCACTTTGTGGAGGAGGACAAAGGACAAAACAAGCGTACCCATTACCAGAAGCCCACCCCCTGCATGGCTTACAGGTGATGGGATTGCCAAGAAAACCATGGCAGTGACTGGAACAACACTGATGTAGAGAACGCAGCGAGCGATTAAAGCTTCAACAGCGAGTGTTGGTCCTCCATGGCTCACAGCCAGGCCGGGAGATGGTCTGCGTGCACCCTTCCTGAGCTGCAGGTGAAGGAGCTGATTCCCCACCCATCAGGAAAACACAGAGCTGTGGCGTGGGCAAGGTGCCGCGTGACAGCATATGACACACACTGCAGCAAAACAAGGAAGTACAAATCAGATCTAGAATGGGGAGGGCAAGTCACAGACTAGGAAATTGGCCAGCATACACTGTAAGGCTCCTTTTCCAACCACATAAGGGAAATTCCCAGGCCCAAGGCACAGCCTCCACCAACTGTGCAAGTATCAGCAGGCTGCCCCTGCCACTTCTCGGAGCCTCTCTGTCTCTGCCCAGCTGTGCTGGTCAAAGTGCTGAGCCTTGCTGACTTCTATGCCCTCATCTAGAACACAGGAGAAAGAAGCAATAATGGCCATAAAATACCTACCCTACAGGTTGTAAGTATTAAAGAAGATAAGGTGGGACCAGCGCTGTGGCATAGCGGGTAAAACTACCATCTGCAGTGCCGGCATCCCATTTAGATGACGGTTTGAGTCCTGGCTGCTCCACTTCCAATCCAGCTCTCTGCTATGGCCTGGAAAAGCAGTAAAAGATGGCCCAAGTCCTTGGGCCCCTGCACCCACATGGGAGACCCGGAGGAAGCTCCTGGCTCCTGGCTTCAGATCGACACAGTTCCAGCTGTTGCAGCAATCTATGGAGTGAACCAGCATATGGAAGACCTCTCTCTCTCTCTGTCTCTGCCTCTCTGTAACTCTGACTTTCAAATAAATAAATAAATCTTTAAAAAAAAGACAAGGAATATTGAGGGAAAACACCTAGCACAAAGTAAACATTAGAGAAGAGGCAAGGGACTGAACTTCAGCCTGCCATGGTGCCATGTTCCCAGGTAGGGAGTGAAGCAGAGATGTTAATTTATTCCACAAGTATTTATTGAGTGCATTCCCTGTATCAGAGTAGTATAAGAACTACAAATTCAAGGGCCAGCACTGTGGCATAGCGGGTAAAGCCACCACCTGCAGTGAGGGCATCCAATATGGGCGCTGGTTCAAGACCCGGCTGCTCCGCTTCTGATCCAGCTCTCTGCTATGGCCTGGGAAAGCAGAAGACAATGATCCAAGTTCCTGGGCCCCTGAACCCTCGTGGGAGACCAGGAAGAAGCTCCTGGATCCTGCCTTTGGATCAGCACAGCTCAGGCCGTTGCAGCCATCTGGGGAGTGAACCAGTGGATGGAAGATCTCTATCTCTCTCTCTGCCTCTCTGTAACTCTTCTTTTCAAATAAATAAATAAATCTTTAAAAAAATAAGATAATTCTGGCTACTTTGAGGGGGTAAGGTGTCTAATTAGGAGGCCACAATAGTTGGTCCAAAGAGAGATCTTAGTTGTTTGGATTGGTGGTAGAGGAGGAGATGAGAAACTTTGAGGCTGATGAATGAGGTAGGTGTGTAAGAGAGAGAGACAGGGTTTTGGCTGGAGCAAGTTGGTGATTGGATGGGACCTTCCTGCGATGGGAAAGAGGAAAAGAAGATGTAGCATGGGGATCAGCAGCTCCATTTTGACATGATGAGTTCACCATGACTAGGAAAAACCCAAATGAAAACATGAAGGAGGCTATCAAATGTGCACACCTGGAACTCAGCGGTGTGAGATTAAGGTGGAATCATAGGAATAGGTTGTATTTATTCACAGGATAGAAAGAAATCACTCAAAATGTGAGTATTATTAAGAAGAGTGAGCCCTGGGACACCTCAGCACCGAGGTTGTAATGAGCGTGGTCCAGCAGAGAAGGCTGAATGGAGGGGCCATTTCCCCATTTGACTGAAGCCCCAAAAATTCTAGGGGCAGAGCTGAGCCTCAGAATGGACTCGTCTGACCCTTAAGTCCCCTTGAAGCTTTTCTTCTTCTCCTTCTTCTTCTCCTTCTCCTTCTTCTCAAAGATTTTATTTATTTATTCGAGAGGTAGAGTTATGGCAGGGCGGGGAGAGGTCTTCCATCCACCAGTTCACTCCCCAAATGGCTGCAACAGCCAGAGCTGGGCTGATCTGAAGCTAGGAGCCAGGAGCTTCTTCCTCGTCTCCCACGCAAGTGCAGGGATCCAAGTATTGGGCCATCTACCACTGCTTTCCTAGGCCATAGCAGAGAGCTGGATTGGAAGTGGAGCAGCCAGGACACGAACCAACACCCATATAGGATGCCAGTGCCACAGGCTGAAGCTTAACCCATTATGCCACAGAGCCATGCTCCCCAACTTGAACGTTTTCTAGGCCTCAGCCTAATGCAGCCATTTCAGCAGCCAACAATTAACTTAAAGTAGTTAATAATGGAATAATCTCAGGATATGATAATACTTGATGCATATTCATCAAATGTTATCTAAGACAATGAATAAATAAACATGGATGGATTTTACTTGCTATTCCTCTTTAAATACTTATTTGTTATGGCTTTTTTTCAGTTTGAGGTTTATATTTTCACCTAGAGAGATTGAATTCTTAATTTTAAGGTCTTCCAGGTAAACTTCTTACAGAAATCTAAACTGTTGGCAGAGGCGATGTCATCCATGCTGTATGACAAAGTCACAGATGGAGGAGGGGGAACTCTGCAAAGCAGGAAGCCCCTGACTGAACTGAAGCCTTCCACTCTTGTTTTGATTAGACTTAATAATGATCTAATCATTGGGTTTGAGTGCGGAAATCACGGATATCAATGTAAGCAAAATTGTTGTTTCTTGTAAAAAAAAATTGAGTTACAGGAGGTACTGGAGAAATAAGAGGGGAATCTCCTAAAATTTGTATAGAGCAAAATATTACAGGAAACATGAGTAATGAGGAGTTTTATGAGAAAATAGAATAGAAAGAGCATGCAGGTGCTTGTTCTCACAGACCTCACCCCCCCCCCCCCACCTTACACAGGAGCGTATGATGAGAATAGTAGGTACGTAGCTGATATTACAACAAGTGGATTGATGAACAAGCACTACCATTCTTACAAAGCTTAGGACGTTATGCCCCTGCTTGGAAATGTAGAACAAAGGAACAAGGAACTCTTACATGAGGCAATGGAATAGGTTTTATAAAAAATACAGCTGTTGGGAGTGTGATTTACCTTTAAAAAAATAGGAGATAATCATTAGAACTTCCTCTATACAGTTTTAACATCTTAAAATAAATTGATTAACCTATAAAATCTTAGACTTTTTGTCCAGCACCTTTAGATAAGTTAAGCAAGTTTAACATAGCTGACGTATCCACTATGAATAGAAAAAAGATTAATGGGAAGGTTACGATGAGGCCATGAAAGGAAAATGGCACAAAATAAGATTAATAGAGAAAGGTTACGCATAGATGATCACTTGTGATGTGTTCTTTCTCAGAAAGAATAGAGGCTTAGGAGGAAGAAGGCTTAATGAAAAGTATGTGTAAGAAGAGTATAAAATAGGCCAATAGGCTACTCCTCCACCTAGCGGCGCCGGCACCCCGGGTTCTAGTCCTGGTCGGGGCGCAGGATTCTGTCCCGGTTGCCCCTCTTCCAGGCCAGCTCTCTGCTGTGGCCCAGGAAGGCAGTGGAGGATGGCCCAGGTGCTTGGGCCCTGCACCCCATGGGAGACCAGGAGAAGCACCTGGCTCCTGCCATCGGATCAGCGCGGTGCGTCGGCCGCAGTGTGCCGGCTGCGGTGGCCATTGGAGGGTGAACCAATGGCAAAGGAAGACCTTTCTCTCTGTCTCTCTCTCTCACTGTCCACTCTGCATGTCAAAAAAAAAAAAAAAAAAAAAAAAAAAAGAAAAAAAAAAAGAAGAAGAGTATAAAATAGAGCGATGAGGAGGAACGGCAGAGTGATGCCTTCCCTTGTTCCCTAAACCCCGTCTCCTCGTCTCCTTTCTTTGCTGATGCCTCGCCTCCTTTGGGATCCCCTGGACCTGCTGAAGCTGGACCACGGCAAATTGTTTTTTAATCACTTTGATCAAAAATCTTTCCAAATGTTATCAACTAATAATAAATATACTTGATATTTAAACACAATGATATGCAACTTTTGTGTAATTTTAGAGATACCATCTATTAATAAAATTAATTTATTTAATTAAAAACCAAAGTTTACATAATACTGAATATATACAAAATACCCTATTTGCTATGTGTGATATAATAACTGATATTCCAGTAATATGAGTAATGACAATATTACTGTGTGTCAGTATACCAAGTATTTTACATGTACCTTCTTTTTTCATGTGACTCTCATAACATCCCATGATAATGACAGCACTGTCATCTGTATTTCAAAGAAGAGGAAACAAATTTCAGGGAGTTAAACAACATTCTCATGGTCAAATTGGGCAGAAGTGAGAGTTGAGAGTTTCGACTACTAGTTTCTCTGTTCATCATCATCATCATAAATACTAATTTTACTTATGACATAAAAGCAAAATCAAGAGGTGGACATCTAGACATTTAGGTTAAAATGCTGGTGAACATTGACCATGTCCCATATTGGAGGGCCTCTGTTTGAGTCCCAGCTCCTGTTTCTGGCTCCAGCTTCCTGCTAATATAGACCGTGGGTGGCAGTAGTAACGTCTCACCTAACAGGGTCCCTGTCATCCACATGGGAGCCTGGATGGAATTCCCAGCTCCCAGCCCAGGCCAGCCCTGGCCATTGCCAGCATTTGGGAAGTGAACCAACAAACAGGCATCCTCTTTCTCTCTCTTTCTCTCTGTCCTCTCCTGTTTGCTTCTCAAATACATAAATAAATTAGGGGGGAAAAAAAGCAAAACAAAATAAAACAAAACCAAGCTTGGCAAACATAAGAACCATGTATCTAAAGAAAAATAAGACCATGACTGAAATTTGGACTGGAGCTGGCATGAAAATTCCATCCCAGTCTGTATCCTTTTCCTCCTGGAAAATGCTAAGATCTTCTGGAAAGAGCCAGCTTACTAGCAAGATGTGGGCTCCCAACACAGGATCAATACAACACAGGTGCAGCACCAGCAGTGCCACAGCAGAGGTCCGAGCGTGGGCTTCCCCTGTAAGAACACCCATATAGCAGCCCAATGAAAAGGCCTGGGCAGCCTCAGCTTCAGCCACAGAAGCAGCAGAGAGAGCAAAAATAAACATTCGTGGAAGAAAACAGAAGTAAAAAGGCCCAACAGAGGGAGTGATTTGGGGCAGATGAGCAGCAGGAGTGCCAAGAGCAACAATAGCAGTGGGAGCATTCGAGAGGGCACAAGACTTCACTGGCAGTGTGGACGGAGCCAAGTGGCCCTGGCAGCACACCCCAGCAGTGGCAGCGGTAGTGAGAGCCGGGAGGTAAAGGTGACTCACTGCCATCTTCACAAAGGCAAGGACTACAGCTGGTTGTAATTATCCCACTAGGCTTCTGGATTGTCCTCAGAAATCTATTTGGAACATACTAGATAGATACTAAATTGGAATCATGATTATTTCTTGGACGTGTTTTAATGAGATAATGCATATTATGATGCATTGTGAACAGTAATATGATGATTAAAAATCATTATTGTAGGGCACATTGAATTAATAATTACCAAGGGGCCCATTGTGGCACATCAGGTTAAGCCACCACCTGCCGACACCAGCATCCCATACGAACATTGATTTCATTCTTGGCTTCTTGTAAGCCTGATAATGTGCCTGGGAAATGAGCAGAAGATGGCACAAGTGTTTGGGCCCCTGTCACCTGGCTTCGGCCTGCCCAACCCCAGTCATTGTGGCCATTTGAGCAGTGAACCAGCATGGAAAATCTCTTTCTCTCACCCTCCTTGCCTCTCTGTAACTCTGCCTTTCAAGTAAATCAGTATATAAATATTTTTAAAAAGAATTATTATGCTGTGGCTATTAAAGACATAAAACTTACAAATAGTATTATTACTAATTAAAAGTGTCAAATATTTTTGCTCATTCCAAAGATGCTTTTGGTGATGACCCTTGTTAATTTGAAATGTAACTTAAATTTGATTTTTAATTCTGTGCCTAATCATGATATAGTATAGTACTTACTTTGCAAGGATGGTCAACTGGACTATACCAGCTAGATCTGTACCAAGTGAGGCTAAGCATTCTGTATATGATTTCACTGCTTTGTTTTGCTCAGTCCCTCTGCTTTTCAAGTTGAGTCTGCCTGCCTTTAAATGTCTATCTCTCATTGCATTCTACTTTAGATAATTTTTTTTGGTAGATGACATTTAGTGAGGTTTCATTTTTGAGTGTATAATATATACTAGTTTTTAAAATAAAGAATAAAATGTTTACATATTTGAGAAGGAGGCAGAGAGAGAGAGAGAGAGAGAGAGGGAGGGAGAGAGAAACTCCCATGTTGTTTCACTCCTTAAATGCCCACATCAACCAGAGGCTGAAGTTAGGAGACAGGGACTCAATCCAAGTCTGCCATGTGGGTGGTAGGAACCCCATTGCCTGAGTTATCACCACTGCCTCCCGGGGTCTGCATTTTCAGGAAGCTGGTACCAGGAGCCAGAACCGGGGACTGAACCCGGTACCTGATGCAAAATGCGGCATTCTGAACTGCTTCTTAAACATTAGGCCAAATGCCTACCCCAAGTAAACATTTTAAAAATTATGCTTTATCTGTGATATCTCAGGTTCTGTTTCTCCACTTCAAATTACAACAACACAGAGTACTATTTCATCAAAAGGTACTACAATTGATTTATTTTCTTTGGTTGGAAGATTCAACCAGAGACCTCCCAATTAAAATTCAGATCATCCCACAAACACAAAGTAGGTCTTATTCCTCAAGTGAATTCAAATTCTTTGATGAACACATCTTCTACTGATGAAGAAAACAAGCTTTAGCTGTGATCACCCATGCACTAAAGATGAGATTTAAGGAATACTGAATCAGAGCCATTGTTGCTTATTTCTTGTTCTTGCCAGAAAAACTATTTTTTTTTACATTGGGAAGGATAAGAGGGCTAAAACAAAAACAAAAACAAACAAACAAAAAAACTACTGGCAAAGATTAAAGAACTTATTTAACTTTTAATTTTAAATTATGAAAAATAAGAACTTTAACATTTGTTTTGAAACAAAGTCCCTATGACAAAACATTGAAAAGTATGTGTATGGCTGCATACAAGCAAACCATAAACTAGAAAAACAAATTGCTAAAGGCTCGATTACATTGCCAGCAAAGCCTGGCTATTTTCAAGGAGTGCGCATTCATTCTAAGTAAGAGACTGCACTCGCAATCCTTTAAAACTAAAGCCCCCCATACAATGTTTGCACAAATGTGTCAAAGGAATATTTGCAGACTATAAGGTATATTTCTATATATGTTGAAAATATTTTGTGTCCTATTATCTTCTTAAAAATTATGTTGTTTGTTTCAGGATTCACAAAGATGAAAAGTATGAAGAGCAAGGAGAGTAACAAAAGCCATGGTAGAAGCCACAGCTGCTGCCATCACCACACCTGGAACTCAACACTAACAGCAGGGGCCACCCCCACAGCAGCCTCCTTGGCCACGGTGTGGGTTATGTTAAATGTAGCTTTTTTGTATAAAATTAATATTTATAATAAGAAATATTAGAATACACATTTTCTACTTAAACTTTATTCGTCATTATAGAGCTCAGTGTGCTGGTGAGCCATGACAACATCGTCTCCTAGAAAGAGCTTCTGAGTTTGGCATTGAACTTTTTTATTATGGAAAAACATTAGAGGTATTGTCATCATTGTGAATACTAGTTGCCACTTAAAAAATATTTATTTATTTATTTATTTGAAAGGCAGAGTTACAAAGAGGGAGGAGCAGAGGCAGAGAGAAAGAGAGAGATCTTCCATCCACTGGTTTACTCCCCAAATGGCTGCAATGGCCAGGGCTGGGCCAATCTGAAGCCAGGAGCCAGGAGTTTCATCCTGCTCTCCCATGTGGGTACAAGAATCTAAGCACTTGGGACACCTTCCACTACTTTCCCAGACTCATTAACAGGCAGTTGGATCACAAGTGGACCAGCTGGGTCTCAAACTGGTGCTCATATGGGATGTCACTGCCACAGCTTTATCCACTTTGCCACAGCACCAGCCACTATAGTTATCATTATTGTGGTTGTCTGCTTATAAAATATATAATAGTCTTTCCTTGTCTTTGTCCTTTTTTAAAAGACACAAAGATCCAACTTTCTTTACAAATGACTGCAAAAATGCATGGTATCTGTGGAAATTTCGATGCTGACAAAAAAAATCAGACTTCCAAATGTCTGGAGGATCCCTGGTTAAAGATGCAGTGAGCTCTGTTTAGCAATGCATGCTAACGAATAATTCCTGTAAGTCAGATATGAAAGGAAATATATCTTATTCAGCCTTGAGTTGCCAATATCCCAAATGCTTACTTTTGTACTAAAATAGCAAACGAAATTTCTTTAAAAATCCCATTGAAGACAGCGATGTAATATCAGCTGAAGAGACCCACACCTACCTAGGCAGAGTTAGAGTGGACAGCAGAGTGGCCACTGCCCCAATCCTGGCCTTTGCCTTGCTGATTGATGCATCAACCTGACTTCCTCGGTTTCCCCAAATTATAAGCCTCCGAAGGACTGACTCCTGCAAACTGAATCCGGAAATGAATGTGCAACCTAGAATGCTAATTTCTTTGTCTTTCCTCCGTTCAATAATCAGTGCAGTCAAGTGATTTTCCTAGAGGCATATAGCTAGTAAAGATATAGATGTGAGTGTAGAATTCAGGTCTTCTGACTGTCTGAAATCAGAGGTGCTGAAAGGGATGCTGATGGAATCATGGTGGTGATCAGGATCTAGGAACCAGAATGTTATTAGTAGCAAATGCTACCTCTCTGTAAATTTAAGTCTAATTACTTGATCTGCCCCCTGACTTACAGAGATATATGTTTTGGGCTCTGGGAGCATGTAGAACATGTTGAAGCTCAACAGTTATTTTAGGCCACCAGTATACTGTCTTGTGCACAGTATTTACATGCAATTTTTCTTAATAAATTTTCTACCTCCACGGTCAGTGTCATCATTAACTTCATTGTCATTATATTTTAAGTCTACCAAAATACAGGAGAGTCTTATGTTCTGGATCTTAATCCCTGTGGAAGAAATCAACATTTCAAGGTTTCCTGTGCCTGGATACTGTTATGGGTTGAACTATGCCTTCACTCCCCCTCAAAGTCATATGTTGAATTCCTAACCTCTAACATTAAGGAGAACATGAACTTATTTGGAGATAGGGTCTTTATCAAGTTAAAATCAAGTCATCTAGATGGGTTGTATTC